TTGTAAAATTTCGTTTAAATGTTTTATCAACGGGACCCTACTTTATAACTTCTCTAATTAGCTTGGACACTCGCAACCACTATAGTAAAACACAAACTCGTACACATGCAGCGTTAATTTAGTTCCTCCTGTTTACATAATTACTTCGGTGCGCCAGTACACCTACGGCAATGTTAAACATATTACGACGATGAAAAACTAAAACTATGGGATTTGCATGAATAACTAAGTTTTTCAGTTAAACCAATATCAAATTATGGCGGGGGTATTATTTATAAAATCAAAATAAATGTGTATGTTAAATTCGAAAATTACAAACAAGCACCGTTTTTGAGTTGTAAATAACGAACTTCAAAGTAACTTGATCAGCTGCGTAAAGCTGCAAAATTGGATAAACCGCACGGAAAAATACGACAGGTCATTGATGTTTTTTTTGCGATCTATCAATTTGGTAAACAAAACTCAATCATTTTTCAAACGATTTTATATCTTTCCGAGAATGGAAACAAAATTTTCAATCAAAATTAAAATTTCACACAATCGTAATGGTAAAAATTTTGTAAAAAACATCAGGAACTGAGTTGAGACCAAATTGAACAAGTATGCATTCGTGTATTGAGTGCCTTTTTGGAAGTCTCGTTAAATTTGTGAATATGTTGTTTATAGCGTTACAAAGAAGATATTCGGCTTTTTTAGAAGTAGCATTTTAAGGTTTGAAGTTCCTCGATTTATTATTAAACGGATTTTTTATACGTTGAAGAATCACGATGATCGGTTAAGAATATCGATCTCTATAAGGTAATCTTTCATGGCTTCATTTTTCAAAGAATCATATAAAGGGAGAAGTCTTTAATCTCCACGATTACCCGTTTTAATTTTGCGAATGAATCGCTCTTGATAGATTCCGCATTTCTTTTCATTAAAAAATTGCTGTTTCAATTTTCATTTTAATTCCATTCGAAAATGATTCATCGAAATTTGTCGTTTTGTCGGTTTTCCGTTTCCGTTCGTTCATCTGCTGCTCTCTCGGTTATAATTAAAAAAGTGGCATTGAAAACGTAGTACGAAAACTGTAAAATGAAAACACATGCTAGAGAAGGGAAACGACCGAAAGCAATGGTTTTGTCGACGTAGACAAAAAGCCGTGCTTGTAAAAACCGTTGTCCGATTCTCTTACTCGTCGTCGCACGACTCTCTCTCTGAACTTGCTGCTTTAAGCTGTCTCTGGACGTGATGTTAAAAAAGTAAACTCGAAACGTACGTTTTAATGGTAAAAAGTTTGATAACTTTACCGATGAAGTAGAAGTTAACATCAAAATTGAATGAATCAAATTAAATTAATATATTAAAATATTCTATTTGATGAGAGAAGATTCGGAGTCGTATAGGGATTGATTTGAATACCAATATCTGGTTCATCAAGAGCTGAGTCAATTATGTCGTCTCGTTATGCAGGGACGTGTTGATATTCAAGACCCTTTGTAGGTGCTTATAAAAGCTCGAGGCGTGAGGATGCCTAGTGTTTTAGAATTTTAATTGCCATTGCTACGAGTTTCTAGAGCATACAACAAAACGCAGATACTACTTTATACGTAAAAATAATAAATATCGTTGTATCATCTATCATAAAATCACTGCAGTATATAATAATCAAACATCAATAACGTTGTAACACAAGATAGAGATGATGTATGATTATAATGCAGTGGGTTCGCTATGTAACAGAGGTGATCCGTTTTGAGCAAGATCCTTTTATCCCGAGACAAGACATAATTTATCAAGCATCATCCTCGCGAGTTGGCGTGGAGCGGATCTCCCAATCGTCGAACGAAATAAGCAAGTGGTGTTCTCGTGCCATTCCGCATAAAAGATAGTTCTTCCAGTAAAAACTTTTTCATCATCCGAGGTTCGAAGAAAAGCTTCAAAGAATTTCGCAACAAAGGAGTTACGAACTATAAGAGAATTTAGGTGAAAGAGATCGGTCGATAATAAATCAAGTAAACGCGCTTGGTTAAAGATCGAGGAAATACGCACCGAAATGAAAGCAAAGGAAACGCAAAACCGTAAATACCCACTACCCCCTTTGTAATTTATTGACGTTCTTCCGGTTTTACGTTCGACGCTGCGACAAAATCCTAGAAAACGTACAAAACCCACCGTGATATATGTTAAAACAGGTGGCAAGGGTGAAGTGTAAAATAGAATTTGGTTCGTAAATGGGATTTTGAAACAACTTAATTATATACGACATAGGAAAGAAAGATTTTCTCCCCCACTTTTTTTTATATATAACAAGGTCGTTTACGTTTTCGCAGAATGAGAGCAAATAATGCGCTAACCCCAGGGAAATACAATCCACCATTACGAGTGCGGAGAAAACAATTTCGTGTCACGCAAGATAACTACACATGTGACACAGTCACGTCGTCGAAACGTCGCAGTTTCGAGAAGACTTTAATGGATATTTTTTACATAAATCACCAATTTTACGCGCATCATTACGTTTTATGGGGAGGTAATTGTTACCAGCATTACGGATTCCAATCGATTACGAAGTTATTAATTAATACAAAAGAGGATAAAAATGTGTCTTAACGTTCCTTTTTATGTAGCTTTCTTAACGATGCTAACTTAACTTCTTGTTGAGATTATTAATTTTAACGTAATCTCGGAAAGTTAATTGAAAATTTTATGGGGGGTAAACATATTTTTGTTGAAGATTTTTAGGGATAAAGTACTTTGTTGGAGAATTTCAAAAATGAGAAGCATTAAAATTGCTGCTTTCATCTTTAAAACCGCAGGACCGTACGTTGGGTCATGAGACAGGACAATTAAGTCGTAAAATCCGAGGGATCAACCTCTCCTGTGAATAAGGGTTGAAGGTCTTCTGCTTTCAAGTAATAACTTGAAATTTGCAACTTTGTAAAAAAATTTCTTTATAAATCTTTATTAAAATAAATTGTGAAAAATTAATTTAAAATGTATGAATGACATTAAAGGGATTGAAATGTTTGTAATAGTTTTCCAGTAGATTTAATCCAAAGCATGAAAAACCTCACCAGTCGAGTATTGTATTGCCGGGTTTACTGTAATGGCCGATCCGAAGCGAATTAAATTGTAATTGGAGTTGGATCGGGAAACGCTGTAGTCGACAATTTCTTCACAATCGACTAACTGAAAAGTCACTCGGCCTTCAACAACATCGATCTGGACATTAACCGAGCTTGGTACCGTGCCGAGCATCGCGAATGATTCGCCCCAGAAATTGGAGGGTTGAAAAATTTTCCCCTACGAAATATTCAGTGACCCGAAGCTTTTCAAAGACGTTTTCCGCTTAAATATTTTTTGCTTGCAGTGTACTTTTACATCACCAAATAGGAATAGCCATTTTCATTTAAATCTACTTGTATTTGTAGTTTTCGTGTTGGAATCGATTACCAAATAATTTGAAACACAAGCTTTTGGTAATCGACACATAATTTCTGAATCACGCCCGTCAACGTGGATGGGGATTTGATTGCAATATAGGCTCAAATTACCAATTAATTACAACTCGAGGTCAAAATGACCACCTCCAAATTGACTGACAAACACATTTAAATTATCTAAATAAATCACAAAATTTGTATATTAAAAATAAATTAAAACAAAAATTTTACAATAAAAAGAACACATCACAAAACCTTGTTGCAGGATTCAAATAAAGATAACATCAAATTAATTAAAACGAACATTATTATGCATTCGAAATTTTAATTAAAAACTTATCTTTTCCGCGAACGTGTTAGATTTCAGCTTTAATTAAAAGAATCTCACACTTTTAAATTAAACTTGTGTAAATTAACGTAAATGAAATAATAAAAGTTTAAAAAGCTGTGTTACTAAGAAGTAAAATCTGTGTAGTTTGATTGATATGACTATAAACCGTTGAAATGAGGTCGCACATATGCCGTAGTGATTTTCCCTTGGACCAAGTTGCTTATTTCGTTGATGAAACATAGAACTTTGTAATGTATAACCCCAGTTTGATGTTGACACTGAAAGATGCAGGTCTCCTGGGGTCAGTTTCCGTACGGTTAACTTACTTTACGTACTCTGGAATAATCTCATCTACATGAGCAATTGATCTCTATAAACTACAATATACATGAATTTTAGTTTATGAATATTTATTTAAAACAATTAACTGGAGTGGTTTACACCGAACTTTCTAACTGTGATATATGGTACTGATTGAATTGGTAATAAATTGGGCACATCTGGCGGAACGTATCATCAGAACCACATTACCTTCTCCCTTGTAATTTAACACCAAATAAATCAGGAACTCGTAGAATGATGTTGTAGAGACTACAAGAGGTTGGCCATTATTTCTTATATATCAGCAACATTACAACGTTTCGATGAAAATTAATTCAGAAGAATATCTGCTATATTCAAGAATTGGCGGAGAATCTGCAAGGAGAGCATAGAAATCGACTTGAAAAAAGTTGAACGCCATTAGTGATATGACGAGCTTTATTCGTACTTTTCTTCAACGTCTTTTAGTGATCTACATTGTAGCGCCTCTGCACTATCTATATTTATAATTAACATCCATATCGAATTTAACAAGTAAATTAATGAGAAAACCATCAAAACATTTCCTAAATAGAATGATAAACTACCGAATTTGAAATTGCCAAATTCATGTAAACGTAACGGCACTATTTTTGCCTAAGTAATATTTGCAAATTACATGTATTGAGCAATTTCAATGGCTCTGGCTCCATGTTTCATGAAATGGGCAAATTGGTTATTTCATTATTTGTTAGTTAACAAAAACTAAGCAATACGGGATATTTAATTGGAAATGTAGATAGAGATACTTCAATATTATGGGATTATGTAAATTTACATTAGTAAAATGTAAATTCGATGAAAATGTAAGATTAGAAATGATGCCTCTAGGTAGTAGAATTAAATCAAAGATTATACAAATTATATAAATCAAACAATAAATTCACTACGAATATAATTCGTTTAGATAGTTTATTTAAGATTAACATTTTTCTTAATTTTCTGTATTATACCGTCAATAAACGGTTTAAAATTTATTTTCATTTTATTCATTTCGAAGTTTCTCATCGAATCTAAAGCATCTTTCATCATAGGTATTATATCAATTTCTATGACATAAGTCCCCTGTTTCTTAAAATTAACGTTTTGTCCCAATATGTTAGTAGGTTCTGGTTTACATGTAGAACTAACTATTCGATCTAAAACGCAATTACACCTTTTAGCAATTAAATCATCTTTTAAAATTCCGTAACCGTAGTAATACGGGGCAAGAAGATGATTGATTGCTTCTAAAATGAATTAAATTAATTTAAATAATTTGAATTTGTTCAAGTTACCATCTTTAAGTCGCCCTCCACAATTAGCATAAATATTAACTTGTCCTAATCTTTGATTCATTCCAAATAAACGAATATCTGCGATTACAGTGTCAACATTTTCAGCGTCCGTTTTATATAATTTATCGGTTGTTGGGCGTCGATGGAAAAGTGGTCCGGCTGGATCAAGTCCGGTTATTCTATAAATTTTTGTACCCATGTTTTCTTGCTGTATGTATTTCCCAATAAATCCTGCCATATGAGCACCTAAAGAGTGGCCAAGAAGATGAACATCACTAAACGGTATTCCCTTTTTGTTTAGTTCCATAATAAGGTTTGCTGTTAAATTTGCAACCGATCTCAGCCATAAAACGGAATCGGGATAAAGTCTTCTCGAATAAAAAGACCAATCAACACAGATTACATTTGTGTTATTGCTTGCAAGATATTTTCGTGTTAGCGGGCCATAAAAAAAGAAATCTTCACCGTTACCCTTATCTAAATAACCGTGTATGAGAAATTTTGTGCGTGCTTTAATTATATTTCCAGTGTTTCTCCATCCGATTTCTTGTTCTTGAACATTTCTGTTCCAAAGATAGAAATGTACCTTGTTTTCTTTAAATTCTTCGAATGAATAAGACTTAGTTATAAAAAGATTTGAGAGTGCACATAAAGTTAATAAATGTATTAGGTACATATTTAAGTATGTTTTGAATTAAACTGCAGTATTTTTAAGTTGCTATATACTTTTGTAAAGTAATTTTTTATTTATTTTGTTATTTTTAGTTGTTAATGAGCAAAAATATTGGTTATCTATTTCTAGATAGTTATAACAAGCAATGGTTTTTTTTTTGTCAAATATTTTAAAAACAATTACATACTTAAAAAATAAACATGATGTACTTGGTGATTACCTTTATTATGCAATTAGTTAAGGTTACATTTTCTAAAAATTCCATATTTTGCATTTATAATACCTTTAATTATATTAAAATCGGGTTGAAATCTTGAAGGAGGAGCATTTTCCATTGAACATTGTGCATCTTCTAGCGCATATTTCTGATCGATATTCAAATAATAATTTCCTGGTTTTCTAAAATTTGTGTTTTCTCCCAAGATATTTACAGGTTCTTCTTTACAAGTATCAACTTGTAATTTAGAAGATTTGCATTTACATTCTTTTCCAATTAAATCATTTCTATCAATTCCAAGGGCAAAATAAAATGGTGCCATATTATGATTTAACACAACTAAAAAAAATTACATAAATAAAACTTCGAAAATCATTTTGATTAATTTTACTTGTTGATTCATTTAATCCACAATAAATATAGAAATTAACTTGACCTAATGGAGGATACTTCTTTCCGTATTGAAGTAAATCAGTTACAACGGTATCAACTAAAAGCGCATCGGTCTTAACAAGATGATCGTATTCAGATTGGCTATGAAACATTGGTCCTGCAGGATCTAACCCGGTTATTCGATGTAATTTTTGACCGTTCGTTAATTTTTGAATATTCTTTCCAACGAATCCAGCTGTTTGAGCCCCCATCGAATGCCCGATGACGTGAACTTGACTCAATTCTAGAAGCTTTTTGTTGCACATATCCAAAATCATCCTCGCCACCAAATTCCCCGTTAATTTCAGCGTTTTCGCTGCTTTTCCATACAATTGTTTTGAGTAATAAGACCAATCGACGCAAACTACATTCGCCCCAGTCAAAATATACTTTTGTACAAAAGGGCCATAAAAGAAAAACGTTCTTCCAGTTCCAGAATCTTGCCAACCATGTATTAAAAATTTAATGGGCGCTTTCGTCATGACTCCATAATCGTTTAAACGAATTTCTTGTTCTATAATAGTCTTATTCCATAAGTAAAACTTTATCTTATCTTCGTTATAATCTAAATTTTCCGACGTAATACTTTGAAGTAACAAACTTATACAAACAAATAAAATCATTTTATTGGATTTTCAAGAAATACTGTGATAATTACGTATATTGATCGTACTTATATGTTTTGTGATACGTTAATGAGCAAAAAATACTATTTAAAAAATAATTATTAAAAAAGAGTTTGACTATGTAGTAATTGATCGCCATTGCAAATGTGTATTCTGCATAATTCACGTAGCAATGCAAGCTTAATTGAGAAAGTTTGATTTTGAAACTATTAACAACGCGATGCTTTCAACAAGTTAACGACGCTGTCGAGTCCCCTAAAATTATGTTAGATTAATTGCCTAAGAAGTTTGAAATGAGTTACACACAAAAATTGTCCACTCATTTTTCAACTTTTTACATTCATTTTAAAACTAGTTCATAAAGTTTTCTTTGTTACTGTGTAACTAGATTAGATAGACGCTTAACAAGACATTGTAACTTTTCCAGTACAACCTCCACGTTCTATATTTACTAGACTTTGGGTTATAAAGTAAAAAGCTGGACGATAAAAACGACGTTTCGTGCAACAGTTTGGACAATATATCTAGACTATTTATGTGTTTTTATCGTTTAAATTGTAAATTACGATCCGCTCTTTATAAAAAACTCTATTTAAAAATTAATTACGACGATAATAAAATTTTATCGTTTCTAGTAAATTTAAATTATTACTGTGTTCTAGTTAAGTTTTCTCGATAAAAGCACTTGTGATAAAATCACATTCGATCCAATACAATTCCAGTGGGAAGCTGTAGACCTAGATTACTATGAGAAAAGTAAAGTGCGAAACCTCTCTGAAAATTGGATTGTCGAAACTGCGGTCATATACAATAACGAAATATCGTGTCGAGAATCTTCACATTTTCATTCTGTATGTGGAAGGAGACATTTTCAGCTAGACAAGTAAATTTAAGCTGAATAATATTTTATATTCTCTTTATATCGTTATTTGTGGCTTTTGGTTTTTCTATAATTTAAAATAACTTTAACATAGTTCATCTATCAGCTAATATTTCCAGATTGGAGTCAAACTCAAAATAGTCTCCTTTACTTGCTAATTTTTCTAAGCTTATTGTCTCAGCAGTAATTTTGTTAGATATTAAGTTCAACCGGATTTTACAAAAAGACTTCTGAATTTCAGTTCTCGTCAATGCAGTACTTGATATTCCTTAGATGAGAGCTTTTCGTTCACCATCAGATCCTCAAGTGTGTGAATTGTATGCTGTTTAGATCATCTGGTTTTAGTTCTCGGTGAAAGCTGATTCTTCTCACTGTATCAAGTGGTTGTGGCAAGGTTCAGAAAATCTGATGGTAATTTGGGTTCCTTCATTAAATTTTCTTTCTTTATGGTCATCCTGGAGATTATAAAATGAGCTCCGTATAGATGGGAGTACTGCATTATTTGGCCACTCGAGGAAACGGTGAGCTAGTTGATTTCCTTGGTATTGATTGGGTTGTAGAATTGTTTTTGTCGATTACAGAAGCTTTAAAATATTTAAACTATTTTATGGCTGATTTGATCATCGTTGATTTGAAAAGAAAACAAATTTGCCAATAAAAATTACCATTACTTTAAGATTCGTTGTAAACCGTAAAACTGGCTATAACTAAAACTTTTAACGTTCTCTACGAGGAATGAATAAGAAACTAAAGATATAACTCCCTCTTTATTGGATTTTTATGACTTTCTTACAAAGAAAAATCAACTGACGAGTGCTTATCACTCAATGAATTCGTATTTCTTTTTCATTTCCTTCAACCTTTATTGATTTTTGGGTATCTGATTATTTTTAATTTGTAATTTTGCGAACGTTTCCATCATCAAGATATACACTGACAAGAAACGAGATGCATTCATGTCAGCCTATTCGAAAATACCTGCGCTTCCATCCCATTTCCTGGGTTCCTGGGGTTGATTTATTCCTCCCAGCCGAAAGGGTATATCTCAAAGAACGGGAACGGGAGCGATAAGTCTCTGTCGCAACGCTCCATCCACCCAGTAAACGAGAAAAAAAAGTGACACGTGTTGACTGGGTGGGCGGTTTTTATACGTTTTTTTTTCTGTTTATTATTCCTTAAATTGATTTTTTGATACAGAGGGAAAATTGTTTTTTTAAACATTTTTTTTAATCGATTCAAAACGCTAACTAAATTAAAAAGCTTTTATAAATTTTTAACTTGGAACTTTTACTTGGTCATAGAAACAAATTGAGCTATAAAAGCCGAGAATGAACTGAAAAGTGTGTTTGAGGTCAGGAAGTATTCTATTTTACATTTCAAGTCAATTTTTAAGTCTATTTTTGTAACAAAAAGGTGAATTAATTTCACACGTAATTGCTGAAAACGAATAATATTTGTTTTGGACAGTTTAATTGGTTCGTAGTTTTCAACCCTGATAGATGACGAGTGCAAATGCAAATGAGCTTTTGGTCGTTTCGGAACCATTTTTCACCGTAACGGTTGTAACACTGACGTCTTTTAAACTTTTTTGTTTTTAAACAACTTTTTTTATTAACTCTATTTCAGGACGATTTATCTACTAACTAGTTTTAACTTTATCTTTTTGTCCTTTAAAAATCAATACATTTTCCTTTTAAAGTTGTAGTCTTCTTCCTCCGTGCTCAGCGCCATCTAGAAATAGGGACCCAAACGAGAGTTGTATTGATTTCTAAGTGTGAAGCTTTCGCGCGAGCTTTCGAAACCGCATCGGTTCGGAACTTCTAAAACTAGATGGCGCTAGTTACTAAGTGGAGGTATAAAATTTTGTTGAAAAAGGATAATATCTTTATTATTAATCTTTACTTGAATTTTAATATTCAATTAATAAAAATGAAATTAAAATAAAACTTTGTAGGGAGCTCGTTAAACTGAAATTTTAGTTTGAGTTTAATTTTAACCAATTTTAGGTGAAAACGATTTATCAACCTCGTGTTCCAATTAAAACTTCTACGAGTTAGCAAAAACTATTTTAAGTGGAATAAACATGAAATCAACCGTAATTTGGCCTGCGAACATTATTAGAAACGAATATTATTGGATACTGGTTTTGTTGGAAACCAATTTAATTGAAAAAGAACATTATTCGAAATGAACAATATTGGAAACTAACATTATTTTAAATGAAAATGATTCCAAACGAACATTAAAGTCGATATTACCTGATATACAGAGACTGATGTAATGCGTTTATCGTGTGTTTTCTGATACTCGATAGTAATAATTTGTTGAGTAAGCTTTGTTGATGTGGCAGCTGCATACAGATTTATTTTGAAACGATATTGGTCCAAAATGTGTTTGTGGTAACGTAAATATTGATGATATATTTGTTTATTCAAATAGAATTCTGTTTGGGTTTAAATTGAATCATTTATAAACTTAAAAATTGTTATCTCAAAGACGAAATTTGCTATTTCGTTAAACAACATCCTATATTAAACTAAAACTAGAACTAACACTAGTACTATCACTAGAACTAACACTAGACCCAGTACTAGAAACTTATAACATCCTATATCTACTAACTTGTGCCAAATTATGTTTACAAAAACAAAACATCAAAATTTTTTTTAATTTATCTCTAAAGTAATAAATTATCATTACATCTAGTTCACAATTATTTCTCTTTTCATTTCGTAACTAACAATATTATCAGGTGGACCTAGAAAAGGCTATTAATAACTTGCTACAACGTAATTAGTTGCAACGCTTTTTTACAAAGAGCCGTCCAAATTGTTTGCAAGGAAATGGAGGAAACGCAATTCGTTCCGAGTCAAAATATTATCGCGGAACATAATTTGAAGTGGCAAACTGCACAACTTAAACCTCCCGTGCGACTTGACGTGTAATTAACCGAAAGAGGAAAGTTATACAAAACAAAGGCAAAGCTAAAAGTTTATGAAGGGGATATATTACTTTTGCATGAATATCGTTAATAAAGTTATTACGAGTATGAAACTTTCCGACATATCCTTCTTGAATAAAATTTTCCTGAATTAAATTTTCTTGAATTAAATTGTATTGAATAAGTTTCAGTAAAATTATATTGCGTCATGTTTCTATACAGACGTAAACATAAAGCTAACTTTAATTTGATTAAACTACCAGTGGGAGGACGTTCCAATATGTGTCCAGTGGGAGAGATCGTTGCAATATGGACACACCATCCAATGTAATTAACCCGATATTAAATTATATCGACAAAACACGTGCCAAGTTTGGGTTTCACATCTAAAACAATTCGGAACTAATGATGTACTTTGAATCTCTTCGTTAATAACGGGGCAATTTTGACAACGTTAAAAGCTATGAAGTTGTAACAACTATATAACAAGTTCGGTAAAGGATCTATTTTGGAGTGGTTCCGGTTTCGAGTTCTCTGACAGAATTTGAACTTCCCTTTTGTGAAATTCGTGCGCATCCATTGGACCGACAGAAACCGGGCTTATTGTTTGCCTGTAACGTACCGAGAGCTTGAAATTTAGAACCGACGACGACTTTTAACAGCAGCCAGCGACACAATACAAAAGTTTAAACGTAGCGGTACTAAAACGACTTGAAAAATTTCAAAAAAAATTAACAAAAATCCCCGACTCCGAAGTTTCTTAATGTTTTAACCATTTCCTCGAAAATTCTTATAGCTATTTCTTATCGCTGTTTCGAAAGTTTACTTTGTACATAAATCATAAACGAAAATTCAGATTACGACTTTTGACAGAAAAACTCATGCGGCTCAAGAGACGATATTAAATTTTCGAAAGGGGTACTTGATTTCCTGTGGCAATAACAACGTTGCTACAACTCCAGCTACTCTCATAAATGTAGATTGCGGCTAAAGGCACGCTTGAAAGGTAAAGGTCTGTTTCTGCTATCTTCTTCTTACCTTAATATTGTATAGAGGGGGAGACTCATATAAGATGACATAAACCGAGATCACCACTAGAAAGACGTAATTGAAATTCTCTTCTCCGCACTTTAAGGTTTACTATCTTTTTGGAAAATAATATTAGAGGATAAAAATAACTTCCAT